CAATTAAGCCCCCAAACTTTAATTGAAGCAGATAAGCCCCTGAACTCTACGATCGGTGCAATTTAGCCCTTTTTCTTACGGCCAACTTAACTGCCGTTAGGACCTCGCTTGCGTGGCAAAATGTCCGTACAAAACCCAAAGCCCTTAGACATGGCAAGATGTTGACACGCAAGCGAGGTCCTAACGGCAGTTAAGTTGGCCGTAAGAAGAAGGGCTAAATTGCACTGATAGCAGAGTTCAGGGGCTTATCTGCTTCAATTAAAGTCTAGGGGCTTAATTGCGATTCTGGGGTTGGTTTAGGGGCTTAACTTATGGTTTTGCCTTCCTTTGATGCTTCTTCATTTCTTTTCAAATTGTCAACTTTTTTTTTTTTTTGTCTTGTTAAAAATGTGAGTGGAATAATTATAAATAGTATGATTTTTGAGACAGTTGTATTTTATTATTTTTTTAACATACTACAATTATTTATAAATTAATTGAAAGATGAGAAAATTTTTTTTGTAGAATTTGAATCTACAACTTATAAAAGGTAAACAATTTTAACTCAAGTTTAATACTGTTGCATCAAAGTGGATCATTTAAAAATGTTGTATTTTATTATATATATTGAAAAGATAGTATTTTATTATATAATTTATTTAAAAATGAAATATAAAAAAATAAATCTATATAAAAAATATTAAATATGATGGTGTGACATTAAAGTTAGCTTTTATGTTGCTCTCCGTTGTAAATGTTCAAAGTCTAGCTTTGGACAGTTTACATTGGCTGGCTGAGATGTTATTCCTACTTGAAAATGTGTGGAGATTATGGAAATGGACAATGAATTGATATACATTTCACTCTAACACGTTATATAATATATTTTTTAAAAATTATTATTTTTTATATAAAATTATAAATTAATAAATTTAAAAATATCATTATATATATAACATATACAATTTTTTTTTTTTTTACAAGATTAATGGTTAGAAAGTTAATTTGAATTAGTTGTTAACAATTAAAGATTTGATCCTTAAATCGGGTGAATATTTCACCCCCTCAAATAAGGTATGTGGCCATCAAACTGTTTTTTTATAGAGTTGACGATAATGGTAGAGTTCGAAACTCCAACCACTTTACCCAAACACTTAAGACTTGAAGTTAAACTATTGAGCCTAAAGGTCGGTTCATATGATATACACAGTTATTCATTCTCATCAAAAGTTCAGAAAAGATTACAAATACAATAGTGCTCGTTGGTCGATGTACAAATGACTGCGACGTCTTCTACGATATATTTTTTTCTTCCCGCGAACTGCCGCTTTTTGCTTTCCATCCACACACCACTTCCTGCATCAGTTTGACCGACTTGATAAAAAAGGAACTTAGAAAACTGGAATAATAAAATATAGCAAAGTCTCGAAGAAGGTTGAAACCATGTGTATGGTTATAAATAAAGAAAAGGGAAATCAAAATGAAGCAGAATCAAGGAGATGCTGAAAGACTTTTAGTCTACCACGAAATGGAAATTGCCAAGTTGATATATACTTGCAGAGAATATTCAAATAATACCAAATTTTAAGTTAGAAAACTCAAAACTTGATTTTGAAAGAAAGAGAAAGGGTTAAAGTCAACTGTAGTCCCTCTATTTTTAATTTTTATTCACGTTCATCCCTCTACTAAGGATGTTCATTGTCATCCCTCTATTTATCCAATAGCACTAAATGTCGCCCTAGTACTCCCCTTATTTTGTTTAGCTTTGTCATAAGATGCAATTAGTAAATTTTATAGTTACTTAATATGAAGAATAAAAAAGTTAATATTAATTTTAACACTAATATTATGTGTATTAATTTAATTTATTAGTTGTTAAAATTAAAATTGATAGTATGTATTTTTCTATATAACTTAATATTTAAAAAGTACATTAATTACACTCTTAATAGTTACCTTGAGGCATACACAAGGTTTTTCTAATCTATCTTTTTATCATAAATGTATATAGAAAAATATAAAAACTACTATTAATTTTAATACTAGTGTTAAATGAATGAATTGAATTAGATAGTTGACAAATTATAGGTCAACTTTTATTTTTTAATACAAATTTATGATAAAAATTGTATTTAATACCTCGATAGAAAGACCTTGTATTAAAAATGATTTTTTTAACTTGTGCATTTTTTTCATCACTAATTTGTATAAAAAATTAAAAGTTAACTATAATTTTATTAATTATTCAATTAAAATGTCTCATGTGGAATTGATATTGAAAATAAAACTTACTTTCATAATTTTCTACATAAATTGTGAAAATGTATAATAAATTTACCTTTAACCTATGCCCTAAAACTTTATTAAAAAAAACTCATTAAAATAATCTTAACAACTTTTCAAACTAAGTTTTATGAACCACTAAAATTTAACATTAAGTTATCAGTAACAATAGATCTTTACATTTACACTTCTACTTAACATAAAATTTAAAGCATCACAATTTACCCACTCAATAGATATACCTACTAATACATCATAGAATAATATTAAATATAGTTCACCTCTCTAACTAAAATTTACTAGTTCATAATGGTTCTACTAAATGTGAATGACTATGGAAACAAGTAAATATAACAGATAAGGTTGGGAATTAACAACATAAATGTCAAGTGGAGCAAGGCATTGACTAAGGGGTGCTTCTCTACTCCTAGTTGGTAGCACACCGAAAAAAAAATAAAAATCCAAGAAATGCTTCAATAGTTGACCTTTTGTGGATTAAATGGTTCAAATAGACGGCTAAAGCAACTCTGTCAAAAAGAAAATGACAATGAATAAAATAATTGGAGTGCAGGGACGACATTTAATGCTTTTGGTGAAATAGAGGAATGACAGTGAACAAATCCTTCGTAGAGGGACAAATATGAATAAAAACTCAACGTAAAGGGATGAATGTTGGCTTTAACCAAAAGAAAAATTATCTTTTTTTTTTTTTAACTATCTCAATCATTTTATGTACCCAAAAATAATATGCATATATTAAACTACACTAATTATGATTATTTCTGACAATTTCTTCAATTTTATCAAAAATAAAAAAAGAAAAGAAAAGAAAAGAAGAAATGGAAATCCATGGTTGGCTATATGTCGGTGTTGGAATTTGCAATTTTGTGTCTTGCCTACAAAGTGTCATATCGTGCCTCCGTCTTCAAAAGCTGCAAATGCAAACGAAATTTCATTTCAGACATGGTTAAGGTTCAGCATAATCATAATTTGTGCCACTACCTTTACCAACGACCCAATGATGGAAGAACGTCTTTTACCGTTTGATGTGTTTTAATTTTAAATTAATTAAAATTTAATATAATTTTAAAATATTAAGAGTGTTTTTTTGTAAAAATAATCATAATTATTGCAGACAATGACCAAAAGAAGATTGAATAATGAATATGTCAAGGAGGTTAAATACCGGTTTGGTCCCTCAACTTTTATTTTTTAACCAAATCTACCCTCAAACTTCAAAAGTACTAAAAGTATCCTTAAACTTCAATTTTTGGTATCAATTTAGTCATTCTATCAATTAAGTGCTAATGTGACGAAATTCTCCGTTAAAAAATCCAATTTCTATTAATATTGAGTATTACGTGGAAATAAAGTAGGTGATATGGTATTTTTTAATTATAAAGTGTTATGATGTGACAAAATTTAAAGCAAATGACATGAATAAAATTTCATAAATAGTTATTAAATAAAAATTTATTTCCTTTGGTTTTTTTTTTTTCCTTCTCTTTCCTTTTCTCCTTCCCCTGCCTACTGAGTTCAAAGGAACCTAGGTGTTGGGCTCAACCCAACACGCTTGGGTTTGATGGAACCCAGGCACGGGTTCTTTCAAACCTAGGCGCGAGTTCTTTCGAACCTAGGCCCTGGGTTCGATCGAACCCAGGCACTAGGTACCTTTGAACCCAGCACACCTAGGTTCTTTGAAACCTTTTTCATTCTTGCTTTCTCTTTCGTTTTGCTTCTTCTTTTCTCTTCCCTCCCTTCTCCTTCTCATCCTTTTTTTTTTTCCCTTTTCTACTGAGAACCCAACCAAGAAAACTCGATTTGAGTATTTTCCCTCCTTTTCTTTGTATTTTGAAAGAAATCCCATGATTTTTTTCTCATTAGTTCTCATTTTCTTCTTCTTCTTCTTTTCTTATGTTTCTTCTTTTCTTTTGTTTCTTTGTTGGTTGCATTCAAGCTTGGCTATCTTGGTATGGGATTTAGAGTTTTGTGTGGTTTTTGCTTGCTTGACTTTCAAGATCTAGCTACTGTTGGTGTTGATTGAAGGGATGTTGTGTTTTTTGCATTTTCTTTTTCTTTTACAGATCTAATATAAGTTTGCAATATGATTGATTTTTTTTAATCTTTACAAATCTGATATAAGTTTGTAATGTAATTAATTTTTTGAATCAGATCTATTGGCCATTATTATTGTGCGAGGAACCAGATTTAGGTTCCATTAGAAAAGAGGTTTGGGGAAGAAAGTGAGGTTTGGTGATTCGGGTTCCATTTTCCTTCTGTTGATCATGTGTTGATCAGGAGTTAAAATCACCACTAACGAAGAAGAAAGGAGACAGAGAGGGAGGTGGAGATCAAAAATTGAAGAAGAGGAGAAACAAAAAGGCAACAAGTGAAGATAGAGGTAAGAAGTTGGCATAGATTTCTTTTTGGTTTTTGGGTTTCTGGGTTAAGCATATTTATAAAGCTAGAGATGATGATCAGAGTGATGTATAAAGATGGTAATTGGAGTGGTAAGGGATGACCATAGCAATGAAGGATGATCGGTGCTGAGTGGGTTGCAAGATGAAGAGGCATCCGAGGATAGAGAGAGACGAGAAGGGAGAAAAAGATGGGCCAGAAGATGAAGGTGAGGGTATTTAAGGAATTTTAAATTTTTTAATATATAAATTAATTAAAATGATGTGGATAACAAAAATGCCATGGTGTGTTGAGTTATTTTTCACATAATTAAAGATTTAAAATAAAAATTGATTTCGTGGCAACTTAATGTGCCATTTGGCACTTATGTTGACGGAAGGATCAAATTGATCTTGAAAATTAAAGTTTAGGAACAATTTTAGTACTTTTTGAAGTTTAAGGGTAGATTTGGTTAAAAAATAAAAGTTGAGGGACCAAACCGGGTATTTAACCTTTCAACGATTTGCCGACCAAGATGCAAACTTTCCAGTTCAGATTGTTAATTTCGTTTCTGGGTATAGGGTGAAACAATAGAAACCCACAAAAGTTCATTGCTTTTGACCTAAATATTAGTAAATTCTTGAAATTTGGACATAAAATTCCATGCTGAAATTTGAGCAAAGCCTACGCCCAAAATGGAGGTGGGTGGGTCATCCTGACAACGAATACCGACGCAGAGAAGACTGTTCATGTTCCTTTTTTTTCTTTTTTTCTTTGAACGGCAGAAGACTGTTCATGTTACCAGAAGAAGAGGGCAGACGCCCATAAATATCACTAAATTCTTGCTTTCCGTTTATATGTTAGATTCAAGGCCGTCAAACTTAAGTGGTTTTTGTTTCAAGTGGAGGAACCAACTGAGTCTAGTAACTCAACTGGGCCACTGTTGAATGCTACCATTTAATGCAAAAAGTCCACTGAAGCCACCAACTCCACCACCTAAGGTGGCTGTCGTATCTTTCTTTGATGAAGATAAATATGTCTTTCTCCAATCATTTTTTCTACTATCTTTTCCCTCTCTGTGCTTCTCATATCACAATTCGCATTTTTCGACTCCCTCAGGGTAAAGGGTACCCCGGTTAGGCTTCGAATTTTGGTTTTCTCAGAGATTTGCTCGTCATTCTTTCTGGGATTTGTATGTAAGTGAATTCATTGGCCTATTCTGTACTGTTGTTTCATTTCATATATAGCGAGCTTGATATTTTGGAGGCTTTGATACTGATTCTCGTTGGCTTTTGAGCATTGATTAACATTTTGTGGTGGTGGTGATTCACTGATTCAGAGCTGAAGGAGAGATGCGGGTTCTGAGTTTTGTGTAGATTGGAGATTAAATTGGGTTTTTGGATAATCAATGACTTTCAGATGTTTTGGTGTCTTTGATTGCTGCAAAGGAAAGAATGGTGGTGGTCACACACAAGAACAAGGTAAGGACTTTGAGTGTGTGGTTCCATTCAATTTGGTGGCGTGTGTTTTCTGTTGAGTGATTAGGGTTATCACGATTGTAAGAATTGTAGCTGCTCAATTCAGTAAGGGTCACCTCTCAAATGCTAATTGATTATGTTCAAGCCTGTAATTTGATCTTTGGTTTTGATCCTTCTGTAGTAATTAGCCAGATTAATAAGTTGAATATAAGTAGACAATCAGGTTTTTTATAGTCTTGGGAACCATAACTCATGCTAATTTACTAAATTCAGATGGTTTGATCATTGTTTCTTCTTCTTCTTCTTCTTCTTCATCTTCTTTACAATTATGGTGCTTTAGATGATTATCTTCTAATTTTATATTGAATCTCTTTCAATTATATGGCACATGAAAAGGATCTTATACTGTTGCTTATATTTCCTATTTGCGCATTGATAGAGATTGCCACCAGCAATGTAAGGCGCTTTACTTATAATTCATTGAGATCAGCAACAGAAGATTTCCATCCATCAAACAGAATTGGTGGAGGAGGTTTCGGGGTCGTCTACAGGGTAAGAAATAACTCATGCTTCCAATTTTTTGATATTTCTAATTGTCTTTACAATAGCTGCTTTGCCCTTAGAGAGAAAGCTGCTCTTTTGTTTGATTATGTTCATCTATCTGTGTGTCTATCCAGTCACTGTGTTCAAGCATCTGTATTAGTTTAGTGGCTTCACGGATGAGAGAGATAAGTTTCCTGGTTTCTGGAGAGTGTGCTATTCTCCTCCACCCTTTTAAACCAAGAATAAATATGGGACTCAGGCAAAGTTTCATTTGTGCTTGCAGGGAGTTTTAAGGGATGGCACTCAAGTTGCCATCAAGACTCTCTCTGCTGAGTCTAAACAAGGAACACGTGAATTCTTGACAGAGATCAATATGATTTCAAATATACGGCATCCAAACCTTGTTGAGCTCATTGGATGTTGTGTTGATGACAATTATCGGATATTGGTTTACGAGTATTTGGAGAATAACAGCCTTGCCAGAGTTTTACTTGGTAAGCATCAAGCTATATATCTTTTTATGCCTCGTACATTTAAAAGTTGGACTGAGAGCACTATAAAATTGGATATTGTAGAACCTGAGATATATTCCAATCCTGCTATTCAAGCCTCTCTTTCAAATTTCCATGTTCTTCTCTTCCTTGTTTCCACTCCACGTTTGACAGC